CTGCTGAGCAGAAAGCCCAATGCAGGGCCCGATCCCAGGACCCTGACATCATGACCTGAGCTGAAACCAAGAGTCAGACGTTTAACTGACTGAGCCACCCAGCTGCCCCTATTTCATTATTTTTAATAGCCATGATAAAATAGTGTTATTTCCACCCACTCAATATGATACCATCTCCACATGCCAGATAAAGAAGACAAAAGTTAGGAAAACTGTTGTAACAAAGGTCTTTTGCTAGATTCAGGCTTCTGGCTCACTAGTAGAAATAGAAGCTGAGATTACTTTCAGAGAACAATTTCTTCCCTTTCAGTTCTTCCTGTTTTTTCTAATCCCTTCTTGTGATTACAGCGGCCACAAGCTTAATCCAGATATAGCTAATGATACTCACCTGGGTGTATGGTGGAGGTCACAGATAGCAGAAGAAATGAAATATTGAGTTGAGACAGAGGAGGGATGTATACTCCACTTGTACATTGATTTCCTATGTTCATCCAGCTATTGAAATATATGAAATGATGTGCCTTTTGGGTCAGTTTCTTTGCGAGTCACTGGAAAGCACAGACCAGCCCCCCCATTTCCTTGCTCATGTCACTCCATCCCCTTAGGCACACTAGACTGGAACACTTTCTGTCGTTTTTTATTTATTCCTGTCCTTCATTCTTCAAATGTAGTCATTTGTTTTTAAGTCTTTGAAATGCCATTTATACCCATTTTGTACTCTCGGTTCTTATTGGGACAATCCTGGTGCATATAATACTCACAGTCTCCGTCTGACCATCTATCCATCTTTTGTGAGTTTCATAACCTTCCTGTTTTCGAAAAGATTTAAAAGAGTTAATACAGTGGAACAATGTAAATCTGGATAATTAAGATTAAAAAGAGAACAGAGAGGGCCTAAATCAATTGTTCTCACTATTGGATGCATTACAAACAATGGAGAACTTAACGAAAAATAGTGATACTTGGGAGATTTGGATCTATATTTTCTAGAGCACCGTAGGTGATTTGAATGTGCAGCCAAGGTTCAGAACCTGTGGAATTGGACATGAAGGAGTAGACACTACCAGCCACTTTATGAGCTGATTACAACTTTTGAATCCTGAGTATGGCTGCAAAGGCAAAAAGGGACAGATGCTGTGTTCAACACCTCTCGTTATCTGACAAAACATTTTTTCCCCAGAGTTAGACTCTAAAAATAATATATTGTGTATGTCCTAATAATGCAATAGTTATCCTTTATTTTTTTTTATAGCAATCTCCACGCCCAATGTGAGGCTCAAACCCATGACCCTGAGGCCCGAGGACCGAGCCAGCCAGGAGCCCCTCATAGCTACCCATTGTTGACTGTTTGCCAAGGGCTAAACATTATGCCCATTGAAGGAATTAGCTGTTTTAAGTCTCAAACACGTCTATGATGTGAGCGCATTATCAACCTTATATTTCAGGTGAGGAAACTTGGGTCTTGAGGAATTAAATAAATTGCAGCTTTTGGATTAACTGTAGAATCTGATTCTTGACCACCTCCTATACTGCCTCTGGTAAGAATGCCCTGGGCAAAATCTCCAGTTAAAGTTGTGCAAAAGACAGAATGGTGTTCAAATGGAGATTCTTGTAAAATAAAGGCTGAAGGAAAATAATTTAACAAAAGACTCTGTGTAAGGTGTTGAGAAAATATTTGGCTTTCTGGTGGACTTATAGGGAAAGACACTGGGACTCCTCAAAGAGTGGGTTGATATCATGTCTGCATTTTCTCACAGGGGTCTTAGGGAGGTCTGGCCTGTCCCACAAGGCTAGCGCATGGAGCAGCAGCAGAAGGGAGCCAAGCTTGGGTGCAAGAGATCAGCAAGGATGATGAGATCAGCAAGCCTTAAGTCCCTTGGAACCAGGATTAGAGACAGGTAATGGTATATAGGGTAAAAAGCCAAGAAGGGCATCCTGCTTGAGCTGCCAGGCCTAGACAACGTGAGGAATGTCGGTTGGACTGGGCAAGAGGAAATTCCCACGCTGAAGAGAAGCATGAAGGGATCTAATGCGTGGTTCGAGAGCCAAATAAAAAATGTGGGTGTGCCTTTGGCTTAGGGGGAGAATATAGATATTAAAAAGAAAAAAGGAGTAAAATGTGGGTGCTGAGTGATAGGAAACTCATGATTATTTTACCTTAAAAAGGTCCGAAGTGGACCAAATCTTCATGTTCATGAACAACAACTTCATGTTGTTGAGTAAAGTGAGAACCGTAGGCTTTGGAGGCCAGACTCACGTAGTCATTCTTCCGTTAAGGTGTGATGGACCAGATATGCCTGGGACACTGCCTTGAGTCCAGTCGGTCTCATCTGACCCGTGCTCCCCAGAATCTTTCGAGTAATGGGTCTTAACACTCCTCCAGCACATCTTAGCTCAAGAAATGTAAAAGGCACTCCATGGCTTACTCTGATCTCAATTCCCAGCTGGGCTTCATTTTTTCTCTCCACCTTGGTCCCTCCACCTCTTCACATCTTCCTATCACATCAGACAGGTTCACTCACTGCTCCACAAGTGACCGTGGCTTGGATTAAATGTCTGTTCTATGTGCTTTAGTTCTTGACTGCCCAATGAGATTGCAAGTTCTTTGAGGGAAAGGATTTATGGCTTTTAAAATTTCTCTTCTACTCCGGATCTTGTACTAAGCAAATGGAAAAGAGCCAATCCTGCACCTGACTCAGGTACCCTGGGTAGTACCTAGGACAGCACCAGCCTCAATGAGCTATTTAACAAGGGTTTTCGGATTGAGAAAATGATTATCTTGGAATGATTATCTTGGAATTATCTTGATGTGTTTTTTGGTAATGACAACTTTGATAACAAAGCCTCATTATTATATGGCATAGTGTAGTTCAAAAGGTTTGAATTTCAGCTCTGTCCCATATTAATTCTGTGACTCTGGGCAGGGCACTGAGGGCTACAGTTTCCTCATTGTAAAAGAAAGGTGATCGTGGGGGACCTCTGAATGGTTGTGAGGATTAAGTTACACACCAAAAGGAAATTGTCTAGCACAGCAAATGGCTATCATATGCATTCAATACCTGTGTTTTGCTACAGAAAATTTAAAATCTCTATCACTTTCTCTTCTACTGGATTTCTAGTTTCTCCTCTACCCAGATCAGAAAGATATTTTAAAAAATTTTAAAGAACTTTGTTGTGGTTAGGTATTTTCTAATAATGGGAAGTTGGTAGGCATCCCATTAACAGAAGATTTTTTTCTCTTTGGTAAATATCTGGACCATAAAAAATAAGTATAAGACAAATTATTCTTCAGTTTAGGCTGGAATCAGAAGGAGAGAGAAGGAAAGGTGGAGAGTCCTTAGATTGCTGGTAGAAACATGACCCACTAAGTGTTAATGTAGACCCCATGATGCAGTCTTGATGGTAAGGTAGCCTTGCCCAAGGGACTCCTGCCTTGGTTAGGATGAACACTCTAGAGCTGGGCTAGGAGTTTCCATGACAGAGCCACAGCACCACCATGAATTCACCAGGAATGAGAGCATCAAGACTGAACTTTATTTCACCCAGCAACAGAACAGTAGAATGGCATTCTTCTTTTTAACTTTTATCCCATCTTCTTGTCCTTCGAGCCAGGGCTGGTGATAGAGGTTGCTGGGGTTATTGTGCCAGGCGTGACGATTCTGCCCACTGGTCAAGAGACCTCGCTCTCAGATGCTGGCTCTGCCCCTGCCTCCTGAGCTCGGCCCTTGTACTCGCAGGGCCTTAGGTGCCTCTGTAAGTATAGTAAAACTCTGTTAATCTGTTGTTATCATTCAACAAAAGAAGAGTGAAGCAACCATTTGACAAGATGAGACTTTTTCCTGACATCATTGGTTCTTTATTTAAAAGTGCAGATAATATCGGAAATGAAATAAAAACCCAGAGGTTCAAATGCATCCCATACACTGAAGTAGCGGTGGCATTCATCCGCAGGGAAGTGTAGCTGTTTAAAGCCCTATCTTATTTCCCTGGGCCACAAGCACAGCAAGGGTTGTAAAATATATGCCTCCCGCATGTTATAAGGCAATTAAAGACAATCGTATTATTCTCTCTTGCAAAAACCAGTGCTCTTCAGCGTCACAGCAAAAAGATGAGGTGATCATAAAGTGAGGCTAGAGGGGAATTCCCTCATGAAATTTCTGAATGAACTTTGCATCCCATCTCAGGATATACCCTTGTCAATTATTGAAAAAACATCTTCCTTGGCAAGACTGCCTCGATATTACTTCCTCTGCTTTCTGTCCTTATCGTTAAACTCAGAGTTGCTGAAAGCCCAGGATTACTCAGTGTAGCCAAGGCAACAAATAAACAAACAAAACTTCCATGTGAAAGCCCTGTTGCAGAGGGTACTTCATGAGCAAACAGAAATGACTGACTTACAAGAAACCCTCTCACCCAGAAAGAGAATTACCAGGATGGCTTTGTCAAGTGGGAGTGACTATTTGACATACTAGTCATTCTGGAAACTGAAAGTCAATCAATTTACTTCCCCCTGTCCTCTCTTGGGCAGATCTGTCTTTCTTTCTTGTCCCTTTAACCTCTGGAGGTTTTATTGTTATTTTTTTTCCCATTAAGAAGTGCAGCATTTAGTCTCTTGACTTCCCTTATTTTCACACGTGTTCAGGGACCACATGCCACAGTTTATTCAGAATGTCAAGAATCTTTGTATGAAAGTCGATGACATACATTTTAAGGTACACATTTGTTAAGGTACACATTTGTTGTACCAATTGCGGTAGGCCATAAGGCACATGAGTTTGTCCATTTTCGGTGTTAGTAAAGAAGTCTTGGGAGGAAGACCCAGAGGGGATTTCGGATTCTGTACACAGCTTTATGTTGTCCACAGAGATTGACAGTATCCCACTGGGCATCTCACCCCTTCTCTCTAGGCTGTTCTGAAGCTTCGGGGCTTTTGGTGCATCATATCAGGGTATTTAGATAATGGGGAGGAGGAATGATCAAGTGACTCATGTCAAATAGACTCATGTCTACATAAATTAATACAAAGCATCAGTGAGATCGAAATCATGAAATTCTTTCACTTCCACAGCTGGATTCAATCCATTAACTGGCTTCCAAGGGCGTCCAGGACATTTGGGGGAGGTTTTTTCTGGCAAGTCAGATATCAGGTTAAATGAAAGGCTATTTGGGTGTATCTGAATGTCAGGGATCCAATCATCATCTGTCTCTGTGGGAGATGGTGGGTTAGGCATCAGGGCTGCAGTGAGATCTGAGTTCTGAAAGTCAGGCACGGTAATTGCTATCCCTGGCTGGGCTAGGGAAGGGAGGGGTTTCGGCTCTTCTGTCTTCTCTTGTGTCTCTGCAGAAGAGGTGGTACGATCTTCAGAAGAACTTGCCAAATGCTCTGTTTTCCAACCATTATGCTTTCCATTGTCTTTTCTTTTATTTTTATGTTTTCCATGGCCTTGGCCATGCTCATGTGTATGTCCCTGGGCTAGGCCATGTGCCCTGTGATGTCCATGGCCAAGGCCATGTCTCCCTTGGTGTTCAGGGTCATAGTCAAGTTCCCGTTGATGTCCATGACCAAGGCCATGTTGCTTTTGTTGTCCATGGCCATGACCATGTTGCTTCTGATGTCCATGGCCAAGGTCATGTCCCCTGTGGTACCCATGGCCTTGGTCATGCTCATGTTTATGCGCATGGCCAAAGCCATGTTTTATTTGCTTTCTATGGCCCCAGCCATGCCCCTGGGTAGGTCCTTGTTCTTTTCCTGAATCCCGCTCTTCATCTTGTACAGATGCCATGGAAGTGTGGGGTGGACTTACAGTTGTTCCTTCTTCTATTTTCTTCATGGGTACTGATCGGAAAGGTGAAAAACCTGGAGGCCTTTTCATCAATATGATCTAAACAGGAAATATTAAGATGAATGCGTTACTGTGAAAACCATACTATCCATGAAGAAAGAAGGGACTGAGTCCTGGCAATGCTATCTTAGTTTACAATGGGACCTATCTACCAGACTTTAAATACTCCATTAATATTCCAGAGAGGATGATAATGAATATCTTTTCCTCTTTTGATTGATTTTATAATTTGTGGGTATAGATTATTGTTCTTAGTACTCTAAACTGGAGAGTTTTTTCCTTTGTGGGGAAACATTGGGTGGTGGTACTGAACAATGTATAGGGTACCTTCTAAGTCAATGGTTACATAAAACCATGACATATTATTTATTCATTGATACTGTTTCTATTAGCACAATTATTGTTTTTATCCTAAAAGGCCCTAAATGGCTTTATGAGCTGAATATCTAGGGAGCGTATATCCGCAACTACTTAGTTGGATTAAAACACATTAGCAGTGCAGTGTTACCAGCTTGAAACTCAGTCTTTGTATAATGTTTCAGCTGGACTATAACATACTGACACATGGCAAAATCCTAAATCAGAAAAAAGTAAAAAGAGGCAAATTGCACTGAAGATATGATCTTGTGGGTTATTTCCTCTACACTTTCACTACTGTGAGAATGTGCTGGTCAGAGGCAGTGTTTGGTGGCACAAAGGGCATGGTTTGGGGAGGCAAACAAGTCAGAACCTGCTAGGAATCAGCATCATAGTGAACAGGGTGGGCTCTGATTTGATCTAGATTTGAATCCAAGCATCACCAGCTTCACTTTTCTTATCTGTAAATAGGATAACAACAGCACCTGCCTCACAGAGGGGTCATGAGAGAAATATGTGTGAAGCTCTCAGTACAGGGCCTGTGATAGAGAGTGCACTTGGTGCACTCTTAGCATCTTTGTAATTTTTAGTATGCCATCCTTGAAAACGGGGAAAGTCTTACTTACCTCCCAGGGATCTTTTAAAAATTAAAAAAAAAAAAAGATGCAAAGTAATGCTTCCTGAATTTGAACATGGGTATGACTTCCCCCCACCCAGCGATCATGTCAAAAATGCAGATTTTGAGTCAATAGATGTGGAGAGGGGGCTGAGATCTGCATTTCTCCAGAGCTCCTTGGCTGTAAGCAGTGGGCATGGGAGAGCTGGGGCTCCTCTCAGGCACACCTTGAAAGTGCACAACTATGGCATAACCCCTCCACAGTAGCATCTGCCCTTCCCCAAAAGAGGGCCCCCTGGCTGTGGGATGCTGACAAGGCACGGCAAGTAATTATGAGGACAGCTGCTCTCATGTCTCAGGCCATAAAGAGGTCAGCACAGAAATGTGAACCTTCTCCCTCATTTTAAGAAGATAGTCTCCCAGTTCATTTAAATAATGGTTCATATTCAACATCTATATATGACTTTTCAGAATGAGAAAAATTGACCTGAGCTGACTGTGATTAGAATCATACCTTTGTCAGAGGCCGACAGTTGACAGTAGGGTAAATTTTTTTCTCCCAAGGTATCACAAAAATTTCAGCTTTACACTCTAGGGTTTGCTATCCATGAAAACAGAAGCCAAAAGGGAGAACAGTGTTATTCATGAGATGCTTAAACAAGTATAAAACATCAAAAAGTTTTCCAGGGAACAGGTATATAGTTGCATTATTACTCACTCCATATTTATTGATCTGGCAACTTTCTGTCAACTCTTCATTACTTTCCTTGGAACACATGGTTTCCCTGGCTGTGAACTCAACTGAAAATTTCTCTCCAGCTACCACCTGGATAATTAATTAGCACAAAGTAGGAGCTTAATTAATACTATATAATAAATCATATGTTTTCACCCTAAGAACTTTTGGGGGAGAATATTGACATTTTAATTATATACTGAACAAATGAGAGTTACACAGAAAAGTACAAATGCTTGACAACAGAACTTTCAATTTGTATGCATGTGAAAAATATTTGGCTAATGACTGGTCTCATTTCCCTTTCTAAATGGGGAGGTGGGGAAGCAAGCTATAATTTCTATTTTTATATTTTCCTGAGTTTTATTGACAGCTGCAAAATTCATGAATAATTCAAGGGCTCAAGTTGTAATAGAATCTAAGAAAAGTAGGAAGAAAAACTTAAATATTTTCTTTGAAATGCCTTATCATCCTGCCAAATCTTATGTCAGAGAAATACTGAGTTGTTATCACTATAGAATTATTTGATTAGAAAAATATTTGGATTTTCGAGCTTTCTTCTCTTCCTTTTTTATGTTAAGAATATATTTTAATCTCTAGCAACAACTTTAATCATTTGTCTTTAATCATGTTGTCTTCCTTTAAGCAGTTTGTGTGGGGGTTTTTTTGTTTGTTTTGGTCTAGAAGAGGCACACCTCATTTATTTATTTAAGAAATGAATCTCATGTTTTTTAACTACTCTGACTTCAATAAAAATCCCAGGGATGGCTTTTTAAGTCATTTTAAAATGCCATATCTTATATTTCTTCTACCCTGAGAAATACACTTGATAAAAATGTTTCTAAATTATATGTTAAGAAGTTGATGTGGTTTCTAGACCAAGTTATTTGGTATTTAATTCTAGGATTTAAGTGTGTGTGTATGTCATGAACTGACTATGTCCCCCACCAAACTTGTATATTGAAGTCCTGACCTCCAATGTGATGGTATTAGAAGGTAGATATTTTGGGAGGCAGTTAGATTTAGATGAGGTCATGTTGGTACCCTCATAATGGGCTTAGTATCCTTAAAGAAGTGTCTTTAGAAGGGTCTCATAAGACCAGAGCTCACTCGCTCTCTCTGAAGTTGACACAGCAAGAAGGTGGCCATCTGCAAGCCAGGAAGAGAGCCCTCACCAGGGAACCGAATTGGTTGACTTTTAGACTCCTAAGCTCCTAGCACTATGAGAAACAAACTCCTATTGTTTAAATCACCCAAACTTTGCTATTTTTCTATGGTAGTCTAAGCAGACTATGTGCATGTGCATGCATGTGTGTGTGTTTGTGTGTGTGTGTGTGTGTGTGTGTGTGTGAGAGAGAGAGAGAGAGAGAGATTATGTAGCTGTCAAGAGAATACATTATACATATCTGTTGACCTAGAAGAAAGACCAGTTTTGGAAAAAATAAAGTTATAGGGTGATAGTACAATCCCATCTTTGTAAAAGCAAAACTTAACATCTTCTCTATCTCTTTATATTTTGTAGAAACATGGGAAAAGCAAGATGGGAGGCAAGTGAGGAAGGCAGAGTTGTAGGAAGAACTAAGCTCCTCTTCCTTCTTTCTTGGCATTGTCTCACTGGGTAAGTATAGTTAAAATTTTAAGAGAAATATAATAATTAACTTTTAAAACTCCAAATGTATGTGTAAGTAAGGAGGAAGTTTCAAAGAGGGTTTTAACATCTATACTTTGGTGATCATAAATTTTCTGGCTCATTTCAGGGAATACTTTAATCCAGTTTTTTGGCCTTAGAGTTGATCAATATGATGTTGCCTAAGAAAGTTGACAACACATAATTAAATGACAGCTGGAAGCTTAGTTGTATTCAGGGTCCAGAGGAGAGGAATGGAGACCTAATGCCATCTTCTGTTTGAGGGCCTCAAGGTCACGTCCTTTATCACCATCATCACCAGGTATCATTCTTACCAGTAGTCTTCCCTGCTAAAATCCATCCTGTCCAAGTTTTATTTGTTTTTAAAATAGAGAATGCTATATACATAGCAATATAAGTTCTAGTGATGTTTGAAAATTAAAATTAATGAGCTGAATGGATATAAATATTCATCATATCTAGGGATGAGGAAGCCCTTTCTTAGGTGAAGAGCAGAAGAAGGAAACCTAAAGGAAGGGGAAAATGTCTAAATTTGACTCAACAAAAATGAAAACTGATTCTCAAAATTACAGTAAGCAAAGTAGCAAGGCAATTGGGGAAAAACATAATGTAGGATCAATAAAAAGCCCAATGCCAAAACAAATGTGGAAAGGACATGAACAGGTATTTCAGGGAAGAAGTTAAAATGATCATTTATCCTGGAAAAAAAAAGTTTACTTCATTAATAACCAAGGATATGCACATTTAAAAAGCAATGCAACATCCTTTTTAATCTTCCATGTTGGCAGAGATGGAAGCCAGTGATGATGCCTGCTGTTGGCCAGGGCTGGGGAACATGCAGCTTCGATCACCAGTGGGAGAAGTAGAATTCGAGATCATCAGTGTCTTATACCCAGTTGGTGTGAATGTCCTTTAGCATCATTGCAAATAATTTTGTAATTCGGCCATTTGCATTCAGTCTTAGACATATACCTATACCTATTCCTTGACGTTTCCAAGATTTGTCCAAGGAGAACCTCCTCAGTGTACACACACGGATCCTTGAGGTATATTCATCTGAGCAGAGGCAGGGAGGAATGCTGATGGGGCGGTGGGGTGGGGGTGGTGGTCAGCAGCAGCAGAGTGAGGCAAAATAAGGGGCATGTGACAGAAATCACAACCATTCACAAGCGAAAAATGGAGGATTTAAGAAGTTCTCGGTTTCTGAAATATGAATAGATATGCACCCACACAGGACTAAACATGCAAAGCCAAGGCAAGACTAAAACTGTAAAAGAAATCTCTAGCAATCTGGCAGATTGGTCATATGGAGCTTGGCTCTTAACAAAATCATCTTATGATAAATTGAGTTTTTTAGTAAAGGGGCTGCTTCCACCAACGCTGCCCTGCATATCTATCCTCGAGCAGTTAAATTGCTCTCTCTTTAAACACAGGCATCAGTAAAGATCCATCCCTGAAAAGTACGTTTGAAATCTTCACAATATTCCAGCTCGATCTGGCAATGGAGGGCTGTCAGTTGCTTTCCATTCACACAGCATTACCTACGGTGGTTCCCTGGCATTCTTAGCGTAAACAAACACGCATACACGCTGGAGAGCGCATTGGCTACCTTACAGACAGAACTAGAGCGACCGAGAGGACTAGACCGTCACGCTTGGGAATGAGCGGTTCTCCTCCTGACAGCAAATCTTGGACCCGAAAGAAATGGCGGGCACTGCACGACTCCTGCAAAGGGATGGTCCGAGCAACGCGGAGAGGTGGAGCGCCAGAGAGAGCTGACAAACAGAAATGGCCGGGATTCTCTCTCGTCTTCCCGGAGCGAACCTGGTGCCAGGCACGTGCTGGTGAGACCAGGAGGAGGGGGCCGGCCTTGGGGACAGGAGCAAGCGCCTGAGTAGGGGACAAAGGGTCAGGTTTGGTTTACTTTCATGCTGTTTGTTTAGAGGTTTTTCTTTCAGTCTTAAAATTGGAATAGGAGGGGCGCCTGGGTGGCTCAGTGGGTTAAGCCTCTGCCTTCCGCTCCGGTCATGATCTCAGGGTCCTAGGATCGAGCCCCGCATTGGGCTCTCTGCTCAGCAGGGAGCCTGCTTACCCCTCTCTCTCTGCCTGCCTCTCTGCCTACTTGTGATAAATAAAATCTTTTACAAAGCAAAACAAAAAAACTAGAACAGGAAATTGGAAAGATGAACATAAATAGCCCATTGTCCTGGCACCTAAAAAAAAAAAAAACCAGAAAAACAAAAAAACTACCACTGTGAATAGTCTGCGAGCTTTGTCTCTTTTCAGTATTGTCTTCTGTACTTTTTAATAACACAGTTGAGGACAGAATGTATGTTCAGTTTATGGCCTCTTGTTTTTCCCTGCATATTTTAGCACTAGTCATTGCCCACACCAAGAATGCCTCACAAAGATGCTTTCAAATTGCTGCTAAAAAATACTCTATTGTAAGGATATGTCAGACATAGTGAATCATTTCTAGATTATTGATCGTTTTGACAGTTTATCTTTTTTGGGGGGGTGTTACTGTTAAAGCTACCATGAATATCGCTGTATATAAATACTCCTAGTTTATATTTCTAGAAATTAGAAATTTGGCTTAGTACTGAGCCAAAGTATGAATTTTTTTAGAGCTATTTCTTTCACCAGATTATAAAGATCATGTTGGCTTGCTCTAACAGTTTGGTTCTATTTTGATTATTTTTCTTTAGCTTGCATTTAGGGAAGCCAGTTTTGAGGTGTATCATAGGACTCTCTCCCGGAATACATTGGTTATAGACTTCTGGAGTGGAAGGAATCTGTGTTCTATTAATCCAGCCACTCATTTTTTCAGATGGGGCCATAGGGCTGAGTGAGTCTGGGTGACTCCAGGGTCACCCAGGACAGTGGTGGTGCTGTGGTAGAGCTGGGTCTCTCCTGACCCCTGGAATAGGACACCCCTCAGCCTCTCCTGACAGGGCATGGAAAGAGAGATGAATCCCCAGAGAGTACATCTGAAAGAGGGAAGGGTACCCAAGGCAGGGGAGAAATGACATGCAGATGAGTCTGAAGAATCTGGACAAAGACAGAACAATGGGGCCAAGCCCAAGGCATTAAGTGATGCTACAAGAATGAATCTAGAAAGGCAGAGAGTAAGTCTTGCTTTTCCAGGCACTGCATTTTGCTAATTATGTAATAGTTGCAAATATTCATAGAGCACTTTGGAGTTTGAAAACTGATTGACATATGTTCGTATTTGATCCTCACCCCATCCTTTACAGACAGAAAATGGAGAACATGTTATAAATGGCTTTTCCAAGATCATCACAAAGAATGCAGGGAGGTTGGCACTTGAAATCCAGATCTCCCAAATCCTATTTCCTGGGTATACTGGTTCCCAATGCAGATCCAAGGACAATGGCAAAATTAGTGAGCAAGTCACACTTAGGCTATAATATAACTCTTTTTGTAGCATACTTTACAGACCTGTACAGTTGCACTTTTCACTCTGTCAACCTTGAAATAGAAAGTTCCGTTATTCTCTGCATTAAGCTTTGCGATGGAATGATTCAGAGGCACCTCCAGCTCCGGGCTGTTGACAGGTATGTCTTTGGGGCAGCCAGCGCAAATCTTGGAAGGTTGTACAAAATCCTCCCCTGAAAGAAACAGGTTTTAAATTAGCGTGTGCAGAAGAAGGAAAAGTCTAGCTGAGTAGCTCTCCTGCACATGACCTAGCATCTATTTGTAGAGGGCCACGTGTCAGCCTGAGGCTCAGCAGTGAGCGTGCTGAAGTTGTCTGCACACCTTCTGGCCTCTCCTCTTTTTCTCTTCTCAGAGCCAAGTGTGTTTAGGAAAACATTCAACCAGTAGGTGTTAGTGGCGCAATCAATATGCTATATTTTTCCCAAGTTTTTGCATCTTGGATGGAACCACCTATGAAGAACAATCCTTAACTTAAAGGAATGACTCTCTAAGGGGGAAACTTTAAGTCCTATGATTCTGGTGAGCAGGCAGTTTCTGTAATGCTTCTCACCATGAAATGCACGCGACTAACTTCCAAGAGTGAGAAAAGCCAACTCTTGCTATTGTACCCAGAGGCCACACATTTCCCCTTGTCATCACCATATTCCCTCTGGCTACTTACAGAGCAGTGTCACCTGCACCTGTCGCTGCCCAACTGGGCAGAGACAGGGTTAGTTGTTCTTGGGAAGGTCTGCTGATCTTACAGACTTGGTGGCAGATCATGGAAACCAAAACACAATTCCTGTGAGACGACCTAGCCCGTTGTCAGGGGCCAACAGGCACTAGTAGAGCACTAACATGTATCCTGTCATACCTGGATAGAGGTCACACTTCTGCGAGAAAGAAGCAATTCTCAGCTGAGGGTCCACGTGTGCCTCGTCTGTACATTCACCGATATCCTGGTTTTTAGAAAAAGTATATGGGTCCAGAAAGTAAGAACATTTTTAAGAACCTTTAAAGTAATCGACTAGTAAAACTAAAGATAGGATGTTGACTATACAAATCATCATGTAGAAAATGAAAACAAAACATAGTCTGATTGTGAAGAGGGAATAGAAGACAGCTAAGAGCATCAACAACAAACACAGAGGCACAAACCCACAGAAACATGAAACAAGATGAGAATACCCAGTGTAGAAATAATAACCATAAAAGTGAACAGATAAAATTTTCTTTAAGAAAGGTAATGAATTTTAGATTAAGCTAAAAACAAAATTAAGGTATTACATCTTCAAATATGCTATCTTCTAATAAAAAAGATAAAGTTTAAATATAATGGGTGAGCAAAGCTATATGAGGCAAATACGACAAAAAAGTTATACTGGAAAAAGTAAAATTCAAGGTAACAAAAACTCATAAAGGTAGTATGAAGATTATTTTATTTATATAAAAGATATAGTCTAGAAGCCCAGAATCAAGATACATAAAGCAGGAAACATACAGGAATAGAAATGGATAGAAATCATTGTGGTGGGAAATAAAACATACAACTATAAATTGAAGATAGGCCAGATGGATTAAAAAATAAATAAGGTAATTTGAATAATGAACAGTCTTCAGGAATGTCAGAAGGAGAAAACAATGAAGGTAAAAGCAATACTGAGAAGTTAGAAAACAGCATTAGCACTAAAAAATAAACTCAAAAGATCGCTCTTGGGGTGAGGAAAAAATCAAGCACAAAAAAAGGCAACAGAGCAAAGTGTACAGAGAAGTATAAAAATAGAATATTATGAACAAGTGTGTAATAATTTAAATTCCAAAGAAATAGATAATTTTCTGAAAATTATAATTAACCAACTGACTTAAAAATAAGAAAACCTGAATAGATGAATGACTGGAAGGAGAGGATGTTATTCCTCTAAACTTCATTCCACTTCTCACCTCCAAACAATATAAATTTTTATGGATGGATCTTTAAAAATTAAAGAAGTATATATATTTCCATGTTGTATAAGCTGTTTCTGAATATAGAAAATAGTGGCAGAAGTGCCTGGTTGGCTCAGTGGGTAGAACATGTGACTCTTGATTTCAGGGTCTTGGGTTTGAGCCCCATGTTGAATGTAGAGATTACTAAAAAAATAAACTTAAAAAACTAAAATACTGGCAAACTGTTTTCATTCTATAAAATTTTAATCCTGATATCAAAACCTGAAAAAATAGAATGCACATACACACACCGAGAAAACTGTTAAAGCCCTTTCACTTATAAATATAGTTGTCAAATTCCTAAATTAGAAATAGAATCCAAACATATATCTAAAGAATAATTAAACTAAACAAATAGAGTTTAGTTTGGGAACCCAAATATTACTTTAGGAAAGCTGTCAAAACAACATAACAGATTAAATTAGGAAAATAGGGGCTTCTGGGTGGCTCAGATGGTTAAGCTTCTGCCTTTGGCTCAAGTCATGATCTCAGGGTCCTGGGACTGAGCCCCTGTGTCGGACTCCATACTCAGCAGGGAGTCTGCTTCTCCCACTCCCACTGCCTCTCCCTTTGCTTGTGCGCATGCTCTCTCTCTCTCTCTCAAATGAATAAAAAATCTTTAAAAAATAAATTAGGAAAACATAATATGACGTTTTAATATCTGTTCTAAACCATTTGCTGAATTCAATACCAATTCCTTATATAAGAACAAAACTCTTTAAAGAACAGGAATGTAAGGATGCTTCCTTAACATGACAAAGAATGTCTACCTGGAACCCACAGCACATATAATACATAATGACAAACACTTTGAGGCTTTCCCAATAAAATCAGGAATAAAACATGATGGTGTGGGATCACTGTTACTTCAAAAATTATGTCTGTCTGTTTGGGTCAATTCATTAAGACATCGAACAAAAAAATGAGCATCAGAAAAGAAAATAAAAGTATTTTTTGCATAAGATATTATTGTATATCTAGAACAATCAAAAGAATCAATGAAAAGCTCTTAAAGCTAGTGAGAATTCAGCGGAGTTGCTGGATGTAAGAAAAATGCATAAATGTGTACATTTCTTTCTAACAATAATTTATTTAAAAGAGAAGAAAATAAAAACAAAAGGATCTAATTCCTCATTGCAATAACCAAAAACAAAAAAAACCCAAAATGAAAGCTAGAAATAGCCTTAGTGAGCAATATTCTGGAGATATATATATATATATATGTATATATATATATATATACATAGAAAATCCCACAACTTTAGAAATATAAAATGAAACTTTGTCTAAATAGAGATGTATACCAAATTCTGGACTAAAAAGACTAAATGAGAGTACATATGGGTCCTTCTCAAATTAATTTAGACAAATAATGGAATCCCAATCTATGTGACAATGTAAGTTTTTCTCACAAATTTTTTCTAAGGTTGGTTTTGAAGATATAAACACTGGATAATAAATCACATATTTAAACTTTCTATGAACCTATAGCTGTTTAAACATGGTAGTTTGGTACAAAAACAGAGAACACATTTTTTTGGACAAGACTATTATGGAATAAAAGTTGTCATTAATTTATGTAGCAGGAAAGACTGTTGCAACATCTAGTTATTCTCTTAAAAAATTGAAAAAAAATCACGAGATACATCAAAATTAATTCCAGATAGGACTGAAAGTTACATTATAAAATACTGACCATAGACAAACTAGAAGAAAAAAAATAAAGTGACTGCTGTGCAAATAGTGGAAAATTTCAAATGAAAATATTGGTAGATTTGGCCAACTGTAAAAAAAATCTATTTATAAGTCAGAAATACTATAATGAAAACTAAAAAGTAAACACCTGAGAAGATATGACAAAGCACTGATACATTTACTATAGAAATATGATTTTCCAAATCTTTAAGATTTATTCCAAAGACAAATGGGCAAAGAATATAGAAGACAATTTATAAATTCAACCCATAAATTTCCAACAAATCTATGAAGACATATTGGCTAAATAAATGCATATTAACTACATTGTTTGATAAAATGAAAACTAAAAAGGTTTTTGTCTATGAAATCAGCTAAGTTTTTTTTAACCTTCATGACTTTTTAATTCACATTTTTTTTTTTTTTAAGTAAACTCTGCTCCAAGGTGGGGCCTGAACTCATGACCCCAAAATCAAGAGTCTCATGCTCTACCAATTGATCCAGCCAGGTTTTTTGTTTTGTTTTGTTTTGTTTTTTAATACTGAATTCTATCAGGAGTATACATTGCTGATAGAATTTAAATTGATGCATTCAGCAAACAATTTATATATATCAAGAGTTTTAAGAGCTTTTGGGAAAAAATTGAAGTATAATTATAATATCCTATTAGTTTCAGGTGTACATCATAGTGATTCAATATTTTTTAAAAGATACTGTTTTCCATAGCAGCTGTACCAATTTACATCCCCACCCACAGTGCACCAAGGTTCCCCTTTCTCCTCAGCAATAACACTTGTTATTTTTTGTCTTTTTGATACTAGTGAATCTGACAGGTGTGAGATAGCTCATTGTGGTTTTATTTGCACTTTCCTGATGATGAGTGATGTGAGGCTGAGCTTCTTTTCATGTATGTGTTGGCCATCTGTGTGTCTTCTTTGGAAAAATGTCGGTTTCGGTCCTCTGCTTATTTTTAAATTGGATTATGTCTTTTTTTGGTGTTGATTTGTGTCAATTCTTTATATATTTTGGACACTAACCCACTAACAGATGTGTGATTTGCCAATATCTTCTTCCATTCAGTAGCCTACTTTTTTTTGTTGATGATTTCCTTCACTGTGCAGAAGCTTTTAATTTCGATGTAATCTCATTTGCTTATTTTAGTTCTGTTGCCCCTGCCTGAGGAGACTGATCCAAAAAGGCATTTCTAAAACGGATATCAAAGAGCGGTCTCTGTTTTCTTCTACAAGCATAATGGTTTCAGGTCTCACATTCAACTCTTTAGTCCATTTTGAATTTATTTTGTTTATGGCATAAGGCAGTGATCCAATTTTATTCTTTTACTTGTTGCTGTCCAGTTTTCCCAACACCATTAGTTGAAGAGACTGTCTTTTCCCCATTGTATATTTTTATCTCCTTTGTCAGAGATCACCATATAAGCGTGGTTCATTCTGGGCTCTCTATTCTGCTCGATTGGTCTCTGTGTCTGTTTTCATGCCAGTACCATACTACTTTGATTACTATAGCTTTATAGTAAAGCTCTGTAGTAAATCAGGAACTATCATACTTCCATCTTTGTTCTTTCTCTAGATAAGAGTTTTAAGAGCTTCTATACAATCTTATACTATGTGTAAAGCTGAGAGTTTATTCTGAGGGAAAAAAATACCAAATACAGATATAACTTTATTCTAAAAAATGTTTGGTGAGTTATTAATTATAATAAAAATAGGAAGAAACCAAATGTCCAGAAAAAGGAAAGTAATTAGAAAATAATCTATGGTATACTCACTAGAATATTCCATGGTTATTTAAAAAGAAGTTCATCGAGAGTTTTAAAGGCATAGGAAAATATTTAGGTGAAAAAAATGTAGCATGTAAAATAAATACAACTATTAAAAGACAAAAAAAATTACCAAAAATTGTCTGTATGCCCTACAAAAATGAAAGGAGGAGAAATACTCCAGGATATCTTTGGATGTTTGGGCATGTGTGGGTCAGTATTACTTTTTTCTATTTTTTTCTCGGTTTTTGCATTTCCTTAAAGTTTTCTATGCATGTATATTTCCAAAATAGGAATATATATATGTGTGTATATAATATGTATATGTACATGCACATACATATACATATTATATACATATATATAATGTCATATTTTTGAAAGATACAGGGAACATCAGACTTAGAATACCTTAATTTCAGATGCGGAGAGGATGCTGGAAGTAGCCCAAAGGTTCTGAATTCTATCAGTATATTTGGTTCACCTGAGAAGCTTCTAGATCATTCTGATTCCAGGGACCCACCCCAGACCAATTACATCAGAATGTCTGGGTGAATGACCTGGGAATAGGTGTTTTTTAAAGCTAGCGGAGTGATTTTAGTAGGCAACAGGGCCCGAGAATTATTTATGAAACCTCTCAAATCAGTGCTTTTCAGACAAATAAATCACCAGAGAATCTTGTTAATATGCAGATTCTGCATCAGCTGGAGTGGAGTTGAGCTCCTGCTTTTCCAACAGCCTCCCTGGTGATGCTGTTTCTGCCACTCACTGTCACGCACTTTGCATAGCAAGGCCTTAAACTATATCAGTTGTGGGCAAAACATTTCATTTCTGTTTCATGCCATTGAACTACGCTAAGCCATCTGTGAGACAGGTGTCGATATTCTTCACTCTTTTGCAAACGAGGACATGGAAGCTCAGAGAAGCTATTCCAAAAGTCTGATTGGCTTTGTGACCCCCACCTGTCCTTGCGTCTCTCTGGGGGGCGAAGAGAAAACTAAACTGAGGTTCTAACAAGCCAATGCAGAAAAATTGAGGCTAGAGAGCACTGTAGGCTCCTGTCACTTCACACCACTAACTACACATAGAAGCACGAGGTGTTCATAGATGCTTGAAAGGCCGGGCTTGAATCAAACTGACAAAGTGAAACAGTAGTGAGAGCTTATGCTTTTAGAGGATTCCTCTCCTTTTCATTTTATACTATGCTTTTTATTATGCTAAAATACATACAACATAAAATTTGCTATTTTAGCCATTTAAAAATGTATAATTCAGGGCATTAAGTACATTCATAGTGGTGTGCTGCCCTTGCCACTAATAATTTGCAAACACAAATTCTGTACCCATTAAACAATAAATCCCCATTCTCCCTCCTCCAGCCCCTGATAAACTCTAATCCACCTTCTGTCTCTGTGAATTTGCATAGGTTAGATATTACGTAAGTGGAATCACACAACGTGCATCTTCTTGTGTCTGGCTTCTTTCACTTAGCATAACGTTTTCCAGGTTTAGCCATGTTGTAGTGTGTGTTGGGATTTCTTTCTATGATTAAGAATTTTCCATTGTTTTATATATATATCCCATTTTGTTTACCCATTCATCTGTTGATGGGTCTTTGTGTTGTTTCCACCTTTCTGCTAGTGTGAATAATGCTGTAGTGAATGTTGCCAGGCAAGTATCTGTTTGTGTCTCCATTTTCAATTTGTTTGGGTACATACACCTAGGCGTGCAGTTGCTGGATCATATGGTAATTCTGTGTTTAACTTTTTGAGGAAGCACCAAATTGTTTCTCACAGTGGCTACATCATTTTATGTTCCCATTGGCAATATATAAGATTCCTAATTTTTCCACATCCTCCCCAATACATGCTATTTCCCAATTATTAAAAATGAGAAATGATTTCCCAATTTATTAAAAATGATAACCATCCTCTGAGTGTCAAGTGGCAGCTCAGTGTGGTTCATATTTACGTCCCCCTGATAGCTGACCGTGTTGAGTACCTTTTCATTTGCTTATTGGCCATTTGTATGTCTTCTTTTTTTTTTTTTAAGATTTTATTTATTTATTTTCAGAGAGAGATTACAAGTAGGCAGAGAGGCAGGCAGAGAGAGGGAGAGAGGAGGAAGCAGGCTCCCCACCAAGCAGAGAGCCTGATGCAGGACTCGATCCCAGGACCCTGAGATCAAGATCTGAGCCGAAGGCAGAGGCTTAACCCACTGAGCCACCCAGGAGCCCCCATTTGTATGTCTTCTTGAAAGAAACATCTATTGAGTCCTTTTGCCCATTTTTAAATTGGGTGGTCTTTTTGTTGTTGCAATGTAAGGGCTTTTAATAATATATTCTTCATACTAAACCCTTATCAAATAAGGGATTATTGTGTCCCACTCTGTGGATTGTCTTTTCACTCTCTTAATGCTGTCTTTTTAATTTTTTCCCAATTATGAAATAAATACATACTTCATCAGAGACCTTAAAAAGTACTGAAGAGTTCCAAAAAGTATGAAGAATTAGAAAAAGCTCCAAAATTTCCAACTCAAAGTTAACTATATTTTATGTTTTGGCATATTAGTTTTTCGTCACTTTTTAAAAAAGATTTTATTCATTTATTTGTCAGAGAAAGAGAGAGAGAAAGCACAAGCAGGGAGAGCAGAAGGGAGAGGGAGAAGCAGGCTCCCCACTGAGCAAGGAGTCCGATGCGGGCCTCGATCCTGAGCCTAAGGCAGACACTTAACCAACTGAGCCACCCAGGAGCCCCAGCTTCTCATCATTTTTTATACTTATGTTTACTTTATAGATTTGAGTGACTCTGTATGTATAGTTTTGTACCCTACTTTTCTGTTTTTTATTTAACATATTATAGTCATTTTTACTAAGTCACTAAAGACTAGAAATGTAATTTGAATAGCTGCATATATTCTACTATACAGATAGGCTGTAATTTACTTAACCATTCCTTACTGTTGAGGATATAAATCACTTCCAGTGTTGTTCTATTAATAATAATGCTGAAATTATTGCTATCTGGATTTCTCATTTTCTTGCCCATGTAATGGAATTCTAGAAGTCAAATTCCTAGGTTAAAGGGCTTGCTTAAAGCACGGTCTCCTACTACCATGCCCGTATCCCCAAGGAAGCCATGCCTTGGCTATCTTAACATGCATCTCGACATACTCTCCTTTAACATAGTTTTGGTTCAGACAACAGGATATCATCCCAGAAAGGGTCACTAAGGGATAGAGACTCAGGATGTGTTTATTAGAGATAAAGGCAGGGAAGGAAAGGTAAGAAAACAAGCAGAGACAAGTTGGAAGTGAGGGACTGTTCTGAGTAGAGCTTGGGAGGAAGGATGTACAGCACATGGGGAAGAAAAAGACACAGGAGACGGAGGGCATGAAAAGACAAACTTGATCATGGCATCATCTGGTCTCAGGCTCTCCTAGTCCCCGCTTACATCTGTAAGTGCTCTGCTAGACATGTAGATTCTTGAACTAGGTGGCTAAAGCAGCGTGACCAGTGTGTGAGCTTCGGAGTTCCCAGGGGAATGTGGATCAGTGAATGTCACCTAACATTTTAGTGACTGACACTTCCTACACAGCTGAGTGTTCCCCCACCTGGAAAGACTGGACGCAAGGTGCTGAGAATTTCATAATCAGAGTTTTGCCTACTTACACCATTCAAAAGGGACTTGCAGTCTGGAGTTAAGAACAGAAAATTCTCCTTGGAACAATTCGTTTGTGCAATTGAGTAAGTAATTTCATAGTTCCATCCAGACACCACCTGAAACAATTTGGGAGCAAATATTTAAAAGGCAGTTTAAACATCATCGACAGCATTATGGGGCACAGAGAAGGCTGCCTGGCATATCGTAAGTGGTGGATGATATGAACGATGATTATGAGTAGGCAGAAGTCATTTCTGAATAAACAGCAAACTGATACCTCTCACTCCGTCCACACCACCCCCGCCCGCTACACTCCTACCCATCTAACAACAGAATGCAACGTACATATGGAATTACTCTAGTTCCCTAAGACCTAGCAGTACTTCCCAGCTAGGCAGAAGGAAGAAAAGCTTCCATCAACTTTGTGAAATATTAGTAATGCTATTCTAGATCAAGAAAGAAGACTTTGGTACTGGTAGGGCCTCAGTTTTCCAAACTGCCAGGCCGGGAAAATTTCTCCTGCTTCACCCTGGGCTAGTTGCATCCTGATACAGCTGGATATGGACATAATGGAGCAGAACACAGGTCTTGCTTGTGAAAGCAAACCGGAAGGTCTATTAAAAGCAGGGCATATTACTGACCAAAATGAGTCCTTCATAATTAGAGGCTGAAATACAAAGGAAATAGTCAACTGTCAGTAGAGGCTTAGTGAACTGAGGCAACGAAAAGACCAGTTTTACAAGTATTTACTGCCCCCCCACCCCGCAATGATATGGGACCTAGAATTTAAAGGATATCCAGAAAACTATGCCAACTTTTTAGGTACAATTTAATTTGGGGAGCCATGTTTGACTCATGAATGCTGGGTAATGATATAGTTTTCTTAAAGCCTTATGGACAGAAGAACTTTTCTCTTTCGCTGTCTCTACAAAGAACACGTAATACTGATTACTGTTTGCAATCAAAAATTAAAGAACAAACCTGTCGGTTGGCCCTTTTCACTTCTTTAAGAGCAAAGAGGTGGGAATGATCCGTGTTGTTGTTGAAATGTTCAATGGCATGTCTTAGAATGGGTTCCAGGTCAGGGCTTGCGGTCGAGATGGGGTGCACACAGCCAAGGCAGTCAAACTGGGCTCTCACCACTGGGCCCGAGGCTTGACAAAGAGCAGGTAAAGGGGCAGCATTAATGAGTGAAACCTGCGTTCAGATGCACTGACCTAAATGAGATAATTTGGAAAGCCCTCATAAACCTTCCAGTGAATCCTAGTATGCACTAAAAAAGAGAATGCAAGACTGCTTTCTAGCCAAAACAATAAACCTCTCATTCACTTAGGAACATCTTACACGTGTAGTACTGTGCATAGTTATTTTAAATTTACTTAAAAGTAATTTTAAATTATAGAAGCAACTTGGATTTATCCTCTTATAAAAAGTAAAACATTGGGGCGCCTGGGTGACTTGGTCGGTTAAGCATATGACTCTTGATTTCAGCTCAGGTCATGGTCTCAGGGTCATGAGATGGAGCCCCTGTGTCAGGCTCCCAGCTCAGCACAGAGTCCGCTTGAGATTCACTCTGTCCCTCTGCCCCTCCGTGTCCTTTCCCACCCCGCACTCTCTCCCTCTCTCTAAAATAAATAAATAAATCTTTTTTAAAAAAGTAAAACAAAATAGATACATTATAGTTTATTTATTTATTTATTTATTTATTTGCATGAACTAAAGCTCCTTGAGGCCTGGTCCAGAGCACAATATATTTTCTATCGATTCAGTCCAAACAACATGTTTTGCATCTGCTGTAATGAGCCAGGTGCTGAGCTTGGCTCCGTGGATACGTTAATGCATCAATAATCGTCACCGGTCACCGGTGTGAAGCAGTTGGGCAGAAGTCAAGCAAGAGAGACAGGCTGCCCATGGGTCTGCCGTTTTCGGAAAGGAGTCAGTAAGTAGCTGTATCTGTTGATAAGTGGCTCCATACTTAAATGCCAACGGAATTGTGTTTAGTCAGCATCTACAATACCAACTCTGATAATTAGTAGCTGTGGGATCTTGGGCAAGGTAACTAACCGTGGTGGACCTCAGTTTCTCACCTGTGAAGTGAGGATTTAATGCCTGCCTCATAGAGTTGTGAGGATTAAGTACGTTAATATACGTGAAGCATTTAGAACTGTGGCTGGCTGTAAGTGCTCAGGAATCGTTAGCTCTTATGACCCTTATCCTGGCTATCATTACTAGATTATGACGGTAGGACCTTCAGGCATCTCTTCCATCTGAGTCTACAACAAGCCTCTGAGGTAGGAATCATTGTTACCCCTTACTCCCTTTCAGAGATAAGGAAGAGAAAACCGATAAGGTGAGGAATTTGGAAAGATTCCAGGCCAAGTCTGACCTCAAAGCCTGTGCTTCTCTCCCTCCCTCTTGGCCTACAATTGAAGATAGTTCTCGTGTCTTCTGGTCCCTTCTCAGAGCCTTTGCACAGGCCCCATACACTGGAGCAGTCAGGAGGGGAGCCCAGAGAGAGCTGAAGGGATGATCGGCAGGAGCCTTGCCCAGACCTAGGACTCTGCCCTTCCACCATCCCACCCCCAATGGGTCGCTGGTGCCACTGAGGGAGGGGGCTTCGTCGAGGCTGTGCTCCTGACACCACAGAGAACCGGTTCCTTTTCCGCCAGATACATTAGCTACCTGGAGTGATCTGGCAGGTCTGTGTAGCCACTGAGAATTTCATATTCCCTCTCTTCCCCACTGTGGCGGAGCATTCTCCTGTGGCCTAAAAAGAAAAGAAAAAAAAGAAAGAGACCATTTATCTTCATCTTTCAGATGGAGAAGCCCACCTAGTACTATAGCTCAATATAGCTTTTCCTTTTTTTTATTTTTTTGAACTTGCCAACATTTTTTCAAACAGAGTTTTGACATGCCGGAGTGAAAGTTTTTGTAGCCTCGTGATTATTTTTGCCAGCCACTGATTTCACCAGACGTTGGAGGAGAGGTAGTATAAAAGGAGAGGTTTTAAAGCAAGTTTCCTTTTCACCAAAATTGGTGCATGGGCCTGCTAAACCCTCCTTGTGACTTTCCCTTCAATTTCGGTGTTGAAACTGCAAGTAGGGCATGACAGGCATGGGTTCCTGGAAGGGGGAAAGAGCGACTTGCTGGGGCAGTGGGGGTGGTCGCAAGCACTGTTGAAGGGGAGCAAACACTGTCCCCATGCCCCCCTCATTAAGGCAACAATCAGCCCGGCTGTGCCAAGCAGGCGTTAGGCATTTGGTTAAGATAGTCATTGTTATCCAAAAAAAGGTTCTTTGCATATCCTGCCTCATTTCGTCCTCCAACAGCCTAAAAAGGTCAATGTCTTCTCCCCTTTAGGAAGCAGCATCCAGGTTCTGGGGGGTCAGCTAGTGGGAGGCAGAGGCATGCTGTCCCCTCACCAGCCCTCAGTCTTGGCCCAAATGTTGCTCTGTGGTCTCTTTGGGGCCATGTCCTCTGTCCCAATGCGTCATTAGAGTCCCCTTCTCATGGGAGGGCTTCTCTATGTTACACTGCTGTCTTCTCCGTGTTCTGACACACAGAAGGAGAACACGGACACCAAGGCTTTGGCTTTTCCACACGTTTGAGGGTTTATCTGCATGACTTACAAAGAGGCCTGACAGTACTAACCATCTCCGGCTCTAGTGAAAATATCTGACAGTCTCGACAGAGAACACCAGGGGCTCAGGAACCACGGCCCACTTACAGCTTGAGCAGATTCTAGGTAGTCACAATCCTGCCAGGTTTTGCCGCTTTGAACAGAACAGTTTCCTTCCTTAATTTCGTACTTGAAGGAATAAAACGTGTCAGGGTTATCCTGAAAAAAAGCAACCAGAAACACATAACTGACCCAACAGCAAATAACTCTGAGTGGGAGCTAATGCTGATATGAGTATGTGATCTTGATTTAATTCAGGGAGACCAAAACACTTATTAAAAATACTGAAAGCTGACACCAGCTCAGTCAGTTAAGCACCTGCCTTTGGCTCAGGTCATGATCTCAGAATCCTGAGATCAAGCCTCCTGTGAGGTTTCCTGCTCAGCCAGGAGTCTGCTTCTCCCTTTGCCTCTGCCCCTCCCCCTACTTGTGAGCACACACGCACAAACTTGCACGTGCTCTCTCTCACGCACGTGCTCCCTCTCTCTCTCTCTCTCTCTCTCAAATAAATAAAATCTTAAAAAAATAAAAATACTGAAAGTTATAAATATTTACTTGAAGAATGTCCACAATATATTTACAATTATATATTTGTAAGTTACAAAGTGGTATCCTAGTATTAGCCCATTTCTGTAGATACCAATTTGTAGGTACATATATGATTCTTTAAAGTCTGGAAAGTTATGAAGCAAAGCTATTAAAATGTTTGTCTTTCAGTAGTAGGAGTACAGCTGTCTCACTTCTTTAATCAAGTGTTTGTGAGTTGTCTTTTTAAAAAATAAACATTTCTTTTACAGTGAGGAAACAAATAAGAAGCCAATTTTCATTTTTAAAAAATTAAGTTATCGCTGGATGGCAGATTAATTTTTGGTGACTTTACTATTTTTATTTGCCTCATTTTTTCTATTTTTTCTACCATGACATGAGATAATAAATAAAACTTTTAAAGTGCAAAGACATTTTAAAGACCTGTGAGACCTGAAAATATAAAACTCCTAGAAGAAAGCATAGGCAGTAATTTCTCTGACATTGGGCTTGGCAACATCTTTCTAGATATGTCTTCTCAGGCAAAGGGAACAAAAGCAGAAATAAATGATCAGAACTGCACCAAAATGAAAAGCTCTTGTATAGCAAAACCATCAACAAAATGAAAAGGCAACCAACTTACTGAATGGGAGAAGATAATTGCATATGATATATTTGGTAAAGGGTCAGCATCCAAAATATATAATGAACTTACACAACTCAACATCAAATAAAACAAATAATCCGATTAAAAAATGGGCAGAGGACCTGAATAGACGTTTTTTCTAAAGAAGACATCCAGATGGCCAACTGACACATGAAAAGATGCTCAGCACCACTCAGCATCAGGGAAATGCAACTTAAAACCACAATGAGGTACCACCTCACACCTGTCAGAATGACTAGAATCAAAAAGACAAGAAATAACAAGCGGTGAGGACATGGAGAAAAAGGAACCCTCTTGCACTGTCAGTGGGAATGTAAATTGGTGCAGGCACCATGAAAAATAGTATGAAGCTTCCTTAAACAATTAAAAATAGAAATACTATATGATCCAGCAATCAACTACTGTGTATTTACCCAAAGAAAACAAAAACGCTACTGTGAAAAGACACATGCATCCATATGTTTACTGCAGCATTATTTACAGTAGCCAAGATAGACAACGCCGATGTCCATCAATAGATGAATGGATAAAGAATACGTGTGTGTGTGTGTGTGTATACATATACATGCATATATATATGGTAGGCAAACCTTGCTGTATACATATATGTAATGGAATATTACACAGCCATACAAAAGAATGAGATCTTGCCATTTATGACAACATGGATGGACCTAGAGGGTATTATATTAAGTAAAACAGATCAGCCAGGGAAAGATAAATATCTTATCATTTCACTTATATGAGGAATCTAAAAAATGAAGCAAATGAACAAATAAAAAGTTGAAACAGATCCCTAAATACAGAGAACAAAACTCTGCCAGGGCAGAGGAGGGTGGGGGATGGGTAAAATGGGTGAAGGGGAGTGGGAGGTACAAGCTTCTAGTTATGGAATGAGTAAGTCACAGGGAAGAAAGGCAATGATACAGTCATAGCGTTGAATGGTGACAGATGGTAGCTATGCCTGTAGTGAGCAGAGCATAGCACAGAGAATTGTCAAACCATTATGTTACACACCTGAAACTAGTGTAACGTGTGTCAACTATACTTCAACTAAAAAAAGAAAGTGCAAAGGTGCTGAGTTAGGTGAGCTTTCATAATGGAAAAGCCTGACACATCTAACAGCAAGAGACCGGAGAGGTGATGTTGTCCAGCCCCTCACTTTGTAGGTGAGAGAAAGGAGGCCCTGAGCTGATGGGAAGGGCTGAGGCAGCCCCCACACCTTGAAAAAGCAGAGCCGGCCCTATATCCCAAGTCTCCTGACTCTCAGACCCTGCTTGCATCACTCTATTTGCATCTGGGATGATGGAGTCAAACAAGATAGTCTCCCAAGTTCCTTCCAGGTCTCAGATTTTGATAAGGAAATAAACAGTAGTGTATAGATGGGACCCATACAGCAGAGTAAAGACAAAGCATGATTCCATGGACATTTTAGAACAAAAAAGTGCATTTGTCATGGATGTCAGCTAATGAAGAGAACACCAGTCAACTGTTGCTTGTGAGGACCAGGACCAAATGTCTACATCACTACACGAGTTTGTAAAACAGGAAGGTCCAATTTTACTTTCAGAAAATAAAAATAATAATCATGCCCCCTGGGCTTTTTTCTTTACCCTGATCATGTCAGATGACTGGACTTTTCTCCTCCACCAAAGTAAACAGTTACTTAACTATGATAGGCACAGAGTTTTATAGTGAAATTCATTTAAACAAACTATTGAAAGATTTGTGTTTTTTGAAATCACATCTACTGTCAGAATTTGTCTCCAACCTGAATGCATCAATTAGCTATAAAAAAGTATTAAAAACCGGGGATGCCTGGGTGGCTCAGTGGGTTAAGCCTCTGCCTTCAGCTCAGGTTATGATCTCAGGGTCCTGGGATCGAGTCCCACATCGGCTCTCTGCTAGGCAGGGAGCCTGCTTCCTCCTCCCTCTCTCTCTTTCTCTCCCTCTCTACCTACTTGTGATCTCTCTCTGTCAAATAAATAAAATCTTTAAAAAATATATTAAAAACCATTTAGAACATTGCTGTTACCCTTGATGCATTCAGCTATACAGACTGGTAGACATTTTGTCTAATGCATGTTAATCTCATTTTTACCTCCTCTTAGATGTAACTCTGCCTTCCCCCTAGCTTTCTTGCGGTATAATTGATAAATGAAAATTGCATATATTTGAAGTGTGCAATACGATGATATATATGCACAGATACACACATACACCATGAACTAGTTGTCACAAACAGGCTGATCCACATGTCCATCACCTGATATACTTACCTTTTTGGGGTACGTCTGGTGTGTATGTCTGGTGAGAACACTTAAAATCTAGTCTCCTAGCAAATTTCAAGTATACGATACAGTATTCTTAACTATAGTCACCATGTTTTATATTAGATCCCCAGGACTTACTCATCTCAAAACTGGAAAGTTTGTACCCTTGGATCAGCATCTTCCATTTTCCCCTAGCCTGGGCCCCTGGCAACCACCACTGTACTTTCTGCCTTAGTGAGTTAGACTTTTCTTTTTAAAATTCTACATGTAAGTGAGATCATACATTATTTGTTAAACATAAGCATCCCCTCCCCACCTGGGGTCTGGAGGTCTCCCTATTTTAGTCTAAAGGCTGGTCACCCTGTAAGTCTTTTTGCTGCGGTCCCGTTGAGTTCCTGGATTCTCCTACCCTGAATGGTTTCCTTCAAATGACTCCATCTACATTTGTCTTGTGGCACTTTGGTTTCCTGATCACCCAGGAAGCCAAGCTTGGCTGCCCAAGGACTAGTCATACCCTGCCCTGCACCCCTGGGGCCAAAGAGTGGTGTTGATCTTTTCTAAGAGATGTAAGCTTCTACCTTTGCTCCTGGGTTCTTGGGTGATGGTTGGTGTTGTTATTGTTGGGGTGTGGGGTGGTGGGATTGGGGGAGGGGCTGGGCTGGGAAGGACAGCACACATCTCAAAAGGCCTCAAGGTAAAACACAGCTCACTTACCGTCCTGACGACCTCAGTTACACGGTACAACACAAACTGGTTGCCGCTTTGGCTTCTACTGTTATATTTCTTCAGCGCAGTGTCCACTGCCTTAAATAAGTCTTCATCATCGCAGTCGATTTCTTGTGAGGACTCCTGGGTTAAACTTGGTAGCAGCCTGGAGCAGAGAAAAAGCAAGGCAAGTAATTTCATAATTTAGCAGTGGGACAGGAGCAGAGGGACAGGTTCACCAAGAATCAAGAATCGGGCGCCAACTTTGATGCTGATTTTAGCTATTCCCAGGCCTTTATCTCTGTACACGCATCTCTCTGCCTCAGGGCTCCGGGTCCTGGTGGGTTCCTGCCACCATACACCATTCACCCTATTTCCAAAGGACAAATGGCTCTGTTGGGTTATCCAGGCAGATTTCAGGCTGAAACGTTACAACACTGGGGTCATTAACCTGCTTGTTTGCATTCAGGAAGCACGTAGGAGCACAGAGCACATTTCCAGATGATTGCACAAGGTTGTATAACAAATCAGAAACTATTAAAGGAGGAGGAAAAAAAAAACACCAGTCACCTGTTATTCCCTTTCCCAGGTGACTTTCGTAAAACCCTTCCTGAAGGTCACTATGTGGCACAACAGTGCAACAATGAGTACAACATACAGATATCTTTTAATCATTTATTTGCAAGATATCTAGCAAATGTGGGCTGCTACTGGTCACGTTGCATGCCTGGGGAGCCTGTGCACGGGGACGTAGTGCATGCCGGGAGTCCCACACCAGGACGCTGGGGCAACCAAAAATAAAATATGGGCATCCTCTCCGGTCTCTGGTCAAGTCAGTCTCTCTTCACTCAGTTGCATTGGTTCTAGAAAGTAAAATGCTCCCCAGGGTGGAGAAGACAGTAGAGAAGCATAAGAAGAAATGGGTTGAATGAGGTCCTGTTTCCCCGCTCCTTGCATCTTGTTTCCAGTGTGGTGGATTTGGGTGTCTACTCACCAAACCTAAGGAAACTTTCTAATAAACCCCACGTTCTGATTCCAACTCCTCCTGCACTGTGTGCTGTTAGACCTCTCTTCTCTCTCCCAGTTTCAGCTTCTGCCTCTTTGTGGGCCTCTCTTTTTTCCCAGCCTAACAACCAACTTACCCACATCTCCTTTAGCATTTAGGTTTTTTTTCCCCCTATACCTCCCTCCCCTGCCCAGACACACACACACACACACACACACACACACACACACATATCTACCTCCTGCCATCACTATGTACCTACAAGTGCTTCCAGTAATTCAGGTAGCAAACCCAAAGTCTTATTAGCCTATGTCTAAATGCTTGAGCTTTGATTTGGGAAGAAGGGAAAAGAAAGAGGATTTAATTATGGAGAAAGAGTCCTCTGGTACCAAAACTGAATAAAGAGAGGTTACCTGAGCCTAGAACACCCCTAGCCTAGGGGGAAAATATGAGCAGAACAAAGGTTTCTGGGGGTCCTAAGCGGAGAACATGTCTGCCCTGCTTTCTGGGCATGTAGCCTGGAAGGCAGCAAGACCTCAGGAAGAGAATAGCCCAGGGCAGACAAGTTCATTAGCAGTCTTGCAGAGATTCTTTTACCTTCAGTTTGATACAGCAGTAGCTGATAAGCTCAACCCAAGGAGGGAGGCGTATAGGGTAGTAAGCATCCCTCAGCAGGAGGGAAGCTAGTGGACCAGTGAAGGAGACTCAGACCTCCTTTCTCATGCCCACCACCCAAACACCTTGGCATTACATGAAATTCTAGAACTGCGGCACAACATTGTGTGGGGAGTAGCAGGGTGAGGGAACTCTAAGAAGAACTGAGGTTAAGTCTCCTCTTAATCTACCAGGATGGCAGCCTGAAATGGAAATTAATTTCTTCTGAAAATGAAGTGATATTTCTTGTGCACCTGAACTCATGGTTATGATTTGTTCCTGCAACATTCTTTGTAGTTCATAGCCGAAGCCTTGATTGCATCAAATTGAGTTTAGAACTTACTTTTTTCCAAAGGGAAACTTAGAGGACTAGAAATAACAAGTAGGAGGGAATTTGAATTTTGGGTTAGAAGAATAATCCCTTGACTGATAAAACATACTTTCTTGGTATGCCCAGCTACAACCTAACTACTCAGTGAGGAAAGACTCTAGACTTAAAGGAGTTATTAAATCCAGGAAAGAAAGAGGATCAGAGATTTGCTGCAAGGACTTCGTGGTCAGTGACAGACTTGTAGCATTGACATCTTTCCTCTCCTTTCCTTTCGTCTCTCTCTTCTCATGCCATCTCCTCCCCCACCAACATTTGCCCTACTGTGAATATGTAAGTAAGGCTAAAGTACATGAATTTTGTATTCATTATTGATCATATTTTATTTGTGGTTCTAAGTCAGAACATTAATTTTTCTCCATAGAGGAAATCAGATTTTATTTTGGAAGTGAGTATGCAAAAAACTTCAAGACATGTGAAAACTCACTCTTAAATGTCCCTGGGCATGATTCAGAAACTGATTGAGGGAAGAGCTGAATTTCTGGCTTTTTAGGATTGTTGAGGTCTGGCAATGAGAAGCTGGGAAAATTGGCTTCTGGAAGAGGAAGAACTTCACCGTCCTTTAGTGGAGGTAGCCGGTGAACATATCCCATTTGTCTCCAGTGGAAGGGAAAGTGTCTTTTACCTAGACCTCTTTCTTCTGAGTGCCTAGATGGTGGGCCATGGCCCCGGCGATGGTGATCTTCGGGACCCTGGCTTTGGGGTGGTGGATCACAAGGCCCATGGTCAAAGAAATCATGGCTTTGGGGATGGTGTCCATGGGGATGGTGCCCATGGGGATGATGCTTATGGGGATGGTGTCCATGGGGATGGTGCCCATGGGGATGATGCTTATGGGGATGGTCTCCATGGGGATGGTGACCATGGGGATGATGCCTATGAGGACGGTATCCGTGGGGATGGTGCTCACTGGAACTATGATTATGAGGGTGTCCATGGGTCCCACTGAGGCCAAAATGGGGGTGATGACATCCTGGTCCTGGAGGGGGCCATCGTGGAGGAGCTCCTGCCTGAAATGGTGGTCTGTCTTCTAGGAGAGGTGGGCATCCAAATTTATGTGGCTTGTGGGGTTGATGGTGATCTCTAAATTCATCAGGCTTAAATGGAGGCTTCCCAGCAAGAGAATGCTCATGCCTACCAGAGTGGTGAGGATGGCCAAAATGGTGTGGTATACCACTGATGTTTCTACATTCCTGGTAAAGGATACAGACAAGTGAGTGTTATTGCAGAACACAAAAGGAGTAGTTAGATGTGAAAGTCAGTTTAGACCAATGGATTTCAGACTTCCAGATTCCACAAATCAATTTTAAAAATAGGATAGCAGTCTCAAACTTTTATCCATCCAAACTGACATTTAAAATGCAAACAATGGGGCACCTGGGTGGCTCAGTCAATTAAGCATCCGGTCATGGTTTCCACTCAGGTCAAGATCTCAGAGTTCTGAGTTAAGCCTTACATCCATCTCCATACTCAGCAGGGAATCCGCTTAGGATTCTTTCTCTCTCTCTCCTTTTGCTCTTCTCCCTGCTTGAGCACTCTCTCTCTCTCTCTCTCTCTCTCTTTAAAATAAATAAATAAATCTTAAATAAAATAAAATAAAATAAAATACAAACAAAACTGTCATCTGCTACCATCATTTCACAATCAGAATATTTTGATAATACAAGAGTCAGAAAGATATCTCAGAGTAAAGGTGGTTCTTCAGAGGCAATAAATATTGTATTATGAAAAACTTTACTTATCATCCCTATTTTCTCATTTCAACATCAAATGGTGAAATTACATTGTAGAATGTTACTTATACAGTATAAGCATCTCTTACTCCTTAAGGGTGACCATTTCATTTCTTCACTCTCCTTCTTGTCGAGATTTTAATTAAAAAAAAAAATCTGTGGAGCCTTGCTCCTGGTGACCAACCTGCCTTGCCCCCCACCTTTGTTTTATGGTTTGGCACATAGACGTTTGGATTATTTTCAGTTTTTGCTGACATGAAAAATACTGTGATGACTATCTTGGTACGGAGCAAAGCTTTCCGGGACAGATGTGAAACATTGCTTTGTGCCTTATTTTATGTATCTTTATGTAATGTGTTTGAGGTTTATTCATTCCCCTTAGGTTCTAGGCTTGATGACGAAAATGAAGATTTGAGTCTCAGGACTGGAGCTTTGGCTACAAGGACCATTTTCAAATTCATTAGACATTCATTGAATTGGTTATGATTTTACTTTACAAAGCTTACTTCTTCCCAATTGGGGTATCATATCAGCAATTGTACCCCATTTGTTCCCTGGGGGCCTATTCCCTCTGTATTCCTTTTCAGCCCCCTCTTATCTCTCTGCCTCTATCCCTATCTCCCCACCACCCCCAGAGTTAAAGAACAAAATACACTATATGTCATGACAAAGGCACGGCCCATTACAAAGATGACTTAAGCAACCCACCTCAAAATTGAAGACTTCACAGTTTATGGCAATGTGTTCTGGTGTTTCTAAGTCAGAGACTTCTACATCGTAGGACAAATCTGCTCTGCAGAATCCCAAGACCTATAAAGAAGAGAGAAGCCTGTTAGTGTGTATACGTATGTATTTGCATGTGTATGTGTGTGTGCAGGTCGTAAGAAGGTGCACAGCTAGAGCTGTAAACTTTTATACGTTTGGGAAAGACGAGCTTTAGAAAAATCAGGGTAATATTGTCAAATATCTCTGCTAGTTATTTAACAATCTTTCCCAGCCAATACTTGGAGAAAGTGCAGTTTCCTAAGTGGTTCACTTCAAGTTGCTGTGGTTCTCTTCCCTGAGGGGTCACACCAGGGTCACACCAGGGTCACCCCATGGGGGATCGTGAGGGATAACCCATCATTGATGCCTTGCCTTTCGTCCAACCCTTCTGCACTGGGACACCCAATTTCCTGTGCCTAGAGAGAATGAAGAGAGGTGCCGAAGAGGGATTTGTACAACTTTACTCTGACCCTTGAAGGAAAGTGCTGGAAAGGAGGGAACCAGTATGAAAATGGGTTTGCTGGACCCTGTCAAAGTGATTTAGGGCCATACCCTGAGTACAGAGACTATGACTGGCTGGCATCCCTATGCCACAGAGGTTCCTAAACCCAGCTGTCAAAATTAGACTAGGACAAGAAGACAATGCTTTTCTAGATGTGACAGTTAAGCACTG